GTGGGGCAGGGATCTTGCTTGGCCTTTGTGATCCCGAACCCGGGCCGTGACGTGGGAGCATTGTTCAGGGAAGCGGGAGAGCTTCACCCACCCTTCCTTTCTCCAGGGTACAGCCTGTGACTGTACCGCCTAACCCTGCGAAAAGGGGTTTGATGTGCACAAAGAAATATTTTTCAAATGTTCACGTCCCATGGCTTTGTCTCTCTGGTTTCATTTCACCCTGAATTAAGTGCTGCTAACTCAGGGTTTTTTATCCCCTCTCACTATCCTTCAAGGCACAGAGGCTGCTGGCACAGCGGCGACCGCAGAAATCCTTCTTTGAGACGCTCATCAGGAGCCTGATCATCTTGTGCGTGGCCATAGCAGTGGTCTTGTCATCCATCTCCGTCTGCGATGGCCGCTGGCTCTTTGCAAGGGGGCAGCTCTTCGGACTGTGGCACTTCTGCACCGTTAGTAACAGCAGCGTCCTGAAGTGTGTCACCGACCTCAGCCTGGCCAACGTGGAGGGGCTGAGTGTGGGGGTGATTCCCATAAGGAGCATGGTGTCCTTTGCTGTTGTAGTTGCCATATTTGGCCTGGAGCTGCTGATGGTGTCCCAAGTCTGCGAGGACGCCAACGCAAGGCGGAAGTGGTCGATGGGCTCGGTTCTCATCCTCGTCTCATTTTTGCTGTCGGCCACCGGGGTTCTGAGCTTCTCCATCCTCGTGAAGGATCACCTCACCTTCACGGGCTTCACGCTGACGTACTGGTGTGAGTTCATTGCTGCCTTTCTCTTCTTCCTTAACGGGATCAGTGGACTTCACATCAACAGCCTCACACACCCCAGGAACAGGGTAGGCAAAATCTAGGCACAAAGCGTGTAACTCTGCCTTTGTGTAATCAGCTTTGCCAATTAGACTGGAAAAGAGGGAGTCTAATGAAGTTTGAAAAGGACGCCGCATCTTAAATTGTGTGCAAGGAGAGGAAACATGAGTCAGTCTTGTTACCTGTAGAAGACATACCCACCCACTGGTCAGCACGGTGGGCTGCGCAACACAAGGAAAGCAGAGGCTGGGACTGGCTGCTGCAGTGTAGTTTTCTGGAGGAGTGGATTAAAGAAGAGGGTGTGCTGTTAAGCGTGCGGAGTGGCAGCAGACTGCGATCTACGCATGTGGGCTATTTTGAGGCTTTCACAAAGCCTGTACTGCTATGGGTTTGGTGTTGCTATGCTTTCCCTTGTACTCTGGAGCCTGTGCGAAGAGTGTGACACAACTTCGGTCTGTCTCGTGGCTTTGCTCTGTCTCAGGGACAGATGATTTGTGCCTGGCCATGCTAACTGGCATGAAGTATTGAAAATCTTCACTGGATGTCACTCCATTTCTGTTTTGAAAGCGAAGGCACACAGATGTTGTTCTAATCACCTGTTTTGTTTCCTGCTGCCACATTCCCCGTAGCTGTCCTTTCCTCTGTGAGATTTTCTGGGACATTTCTGACAGAGGCACAGGGAGATGCAGCTGTCTGGGGCCAAGGGCAGGCGCTGGGTGATGTGGGTGTACAGGCAAGAGTTGTGATGTCTTCCTTGGGCAGCAGTGCCCACTGTGACCGCTCCTCTGTCACCCCTGTAGGACACATGCCAGTTGGTCACCCAGCCTGGGTCCCTCAGGGCCCTTGCAGACTTTGTTGTAATGGGGCATTGCTCTTCCTAGTTTGTTTTTTTGTTCCTTTGGGACAAGAGGGATAAGTTCTGTAGGGGCTTTAGGTGGGCATTGTGGCTGGGCAGACCCATGCTAAGGCTACCACACCTTCTGGGTGTGTTTCAATTGTCGTGGTGCCCACTGGGAATATGGGAAGTCTGTTTGTCCTATAGCTGAGAGTCCTCTGTGGCGTTTTTTCTTTAGGGATTAGAAAACTCTAGACCTTCCTGACCAGACCAAGTCCTTTTCTTCCCCTGGGAGGAGAAGCAGCCCAGGGTTGCCTAAGGAGGGGCTGGTGGGGGCAGCTGTAATCTATCACAGCTGGTGGAAATACCAAGAGACTTGGCCAAAATTATATTAAGGCTGATCCTCCTCCTGCCAATGCCTGAGTCAAGATCTCTAAAATTGCTGCAGCTTTGAAGTTCCCCATGGTTTCCAAAGGACCTCAGCAGACCTCAAAGGCTGGTTGCCCTACATGTGCCCTCCCTTTCCAGCACAGAGCCCTAGGTTCCCCACAGGTAAAAATGTCTTTATAGAGTATTTCAGGGTTTCTGGTTTAATGTTTATTTTGTATCTGCTGGTAAAGCTGCCTGTATTTTTATCTTAGGACAAATGTTTTTACATGTTTCATTTCTCTAACTTGTCTGATAGCTATTGAGCAAGGTTTTCATTTCCTGTGCAGCAAGTTTGACACAATTTTTCACCTGAAACGAAAGCATAGCACAGAGGCCAAGAAGGCTGTGTAGGCGAGCCATGAGTAAACAGCTTTGTTTTTGAGAGCTAAGATTCTAAGTTCTGCCAGAGCATATATCTAAACTCACTGAATGTGCTTGTGGCCTTGCTTGCCCTCATGAGGGCAGTCTCCATTCCTTCATGGATTTCCATATATTTTTTTTAAGAAAACACTCCTAAAGCCTGTTTTGTGATGCACTTTCACTCGAGCTTTGCTCTGGACAGTGCCAGTTGTTTGTGCTTTTGCACGTGAATCTGCTCGTCCTTCTGGCGAGACGATACACAGAGCTCTGTTACCCAGCCAGCTCCTGAAGCTCTTGCAATGTTTGGCACTCTCTTGGGGTTTCTTGACCAGCTCTCAAGGATGAGGACTTATGCCTCTGGAAAACTGCAGTGTAATTGTGTCTCTGTTTGTGAAAGTGCTTTTGATTTGCTGAATTGATTTCAGCACGTTTGCTGCACTGTTGGAGATGCACTGGTGGGCTGAACTTGCAGATGCTTGTGTGAACAGCACTGCTGGCTTTATCAGAGCCAGAGAGAGTCTGCAAGGTCCTGTTCTGCACAATGGTGCACTCTGGTGTTGCCAGATGAAGTGCCTTAACTAACCAATAAGTCAGCTGTGGTGCCTAGGTGTGCCCGTGCCTGGCAGGACAGTTTCCATCCACTAGGTTAAAGGTGTCCGTGGCTCCTCGAGAGACACGAATGTAACTTGACAGTGCCTTCTTGGTGACATCCAAAACTGGAAATCAGTTCTGTATGTACTCCCTGCTGTGCTAGTGGGAGGCTGTGCCCCCAGCCCCTTCCCTGGGGCAAGGCAGCCACAGCCAGACTGAGTCCCAGGCTGGTGCCTCTCACTTGGGTTAGAGGAAGGCAGTGGACAATTGGCCATTGAGTTCACCCAAGACTTGGTGCAACTGTGAATGATTTTAGGGTGCCTCTGCTTGCTGAAGAAGAGATATTTTGTTGGTGGTAGGGAAAATACAATTAACTTGGGATTTTTCCCAACTGTTTTTGTATAGTACTGCTTGACTTACTAATGCTGGGAAAAGATATGTTTTGATGGGTAAATATCACAAAGCAGGGTTGATTGTCTTGGAGACATCATTGTATACAACAGTCTGTGCAACAAGGGGTAACTGTTCGTTCTTGAAGCCTATGGAAGTGTCAGCAATACTCCTGAAGTTTGTTAAATAAATTTCTTTGAAATAAGAACTGCAATTCTTTTTATATAT